TGAGCATGAAATCTAATTCATATTCTATCCATCAGAGTTAGTTGCAATTGTTTTGTTTGCACATCTGGTTATTTTCTCTCTCTCTTACTTACTGTGCTTGAAGACTTAGACTAGGCTATAGTAGCTAATACATCATTGATCACTTGATATATTTGCTAGTTCATGTTTGTGTTTTTTAAAACCAAAATCATGTCATCCTCAAGATCGATACTAAAATTGCTACTTGTTATGATATTGCCTGAGTTCACTAGTCAACATATGCTCATGCTGATTGTGGTTGACTAGTCATTCAGTTATGCTTGTTATGATATTGTCTTCGTTGACTAGTCAACTTATGCTCCCACTGATTATGATTGACTAGTCATCTGCTTAATAGGGTTATTGTGCCTTTTGGTGAAATTAATTTTCACTCTCTAAGAAATACCATTGGTTATGAAACAAAGCACAAAGGCTCACTTGTCTTCTCTTTGTCTCATTTACACCTTCTGTTCGAACATTGGTATTGTGTTTATGTATGATCATGTTTGGATGATGCCACTTTGGTTTATGACCAGTCATCTTAATAAGAATCCGCCTTGCTATATGAGTTTTGGATTGTTGGCTAATTTATTTTGTTGGGGGAGTTTCTTTGAGATGCATGTGTTTTGACAACATTCTGCTGGTTATTTTTATCATTTTCATACATCAATGTTGCCTTTCTAAGCCTTATCTTGATTGATTTGCTCTCTTTTATTCTTGGCTGTGTCTATGAGGTTGTTGGTCTTTTGATGCCACCTCAAATTTGGACATGCGTGACTAGTCCGTTTCACTAGTTCACTCTCTTCTTCTTGTGCTTTTTTGGAAGCTATGTTGTGTTTTTGGACAACCTAGAGACTTATGTCTTATGTTCTTTCTCACATGTCCTTAATCTTGAGCAAAAATTTATGGTTCATCTTGCTTGGTGCTTTCTTCAAATTGACAATGATTGATGCCTTAAATTTTGAAATCTTAGTGCTCTGTCTTGATTTTGCACCATGGTGTGTAAAGAAAAATTCATTGGTTGTCCCTTGTTTTGATAAATATGTTGCTTAAACTCTATCTTTTTAGGGGAGTTTCTTTATGTGTAATGTGTACACATTGAAATTAAATTCAGC